AAGACAAAAGAAAAACTATTCTGAAATCCAGGGAGGTCCTGGATAGACTCCAGGACAAAATATAGTTATAAAATCCTTGGGAAATAAGGCAATGGTCAACGCTTCCGAGGATGCTGAGAACAATGGGAGGGTGAACTATAACTATTCCTGCCCCAAAACAGCCTCCCACGGATTCCAGAAAGGGGGCCTGCAAACCACTTGCTGAACCCAGAGGCTGAACTTCGGCCTTCTTTCCCCAACTTCTAGCAACAGCAAACGGCCGGTGCCTTTTGAAACATCTAAGTGCCCACGCGCACATCTGCATGAGTGTCCACTCCTGGGTGGGAATGACACTGTGACAAAGCAACTGAGAGACGACAAACAGGGAGAAAACGCCCTCCACACGAAAAACAGACCGAGGGTTAATATTCCTAATAGCACCCCAAATACACAAACCACTACGAACGAGTAAGAAAAAACAAGTAACTCAAAATATAAGAGAGGCAACTGACAGAAGAAGAAACACAAATGGACAATAAACACACGAAAAGATGCTCGACTTGACAAGTAGTCAAGGAAACACAGATTAGAAGATACGTTTTTCCTCCACGGCACTTGCAAAAATAAAAAAGTGACAGCACTATTTTTTATGCTGTTGGTAGACATAAATTAGGCCATCGTTTTTGAAAAGTAATTTGGCAGAATCTACGAAAATGTCACATGCTCATACTTTGATCCAGTCATCCCACTTCTAAGGACCTATCCTAAAGAAACAAATAGTGCAAGGACATGGAAACACTTGGACAAAGACGTTCACCGGATAATCGTTCAAGAGCAAGAAATTGGAAAGAAACTAAACACCAGTCAATAAGGGTACGCTGGGATCAATTTTGGCCCGCCCACCCTGTGGAACACCAGACAATCACTTAAAATGGGGTTGACCAATACACACATATCCAACATAGAACATCTCCATCTTCTAGAAAGTTCTATCAGGCAGCACTGGCCTGGAGTCTCCATGAGTGGTTCTCAGCCCAGGCTACACAATAGACACACCCAACACCTGGGAGTTTGTAGTGATGCCCAGGACCCACTCCAACCAATGGAATCACAGCTTCCGGGTGAGACCCAGGCACTGTGTATGTACAAGCTGCAGGAGATGCTTCTGTGCAGCCTGGATTAGGAACCTCTAAGATAACGTTCCAGGGGTCAAAACATCTGGTCAGGGATCAGGATCACCTCCCCTCCAGGGTCTCTCTGAGAAGCCCAGAGTAAACAGGAAGCTGTTCAGTGCAGCCTGGGACGGGACTCCAGGACCTGCGGCTGGGTTTGCACAAGCGTCTCCCATCCATAGGAGCGAATTTCCTTTTAGGTGCATTTCAAATCTGATTTTATGGACAAAAAGTAGATCCACCCTTGCACTTGGGTCAGGGATCCCTCAGGCTCAGGGTGGGTGGGCTGCTGAGCAGCCTGGAGGCAATTCGCAGCCCAAGGTTCCCCTCCGGAGGCATGGAGGGCTTCCCGAGGTCCCACTCCGGGCCGGCAGTCCGGTCTGGTAAAACAAGGTCACCTAAAACTGCCATCAGGTCATCGGGGAAACAGAAACGTCAAATGCCCCAGAAGCCGTGGGGAAAGAGAGGTGAGGGAGAGTCGGAGGAGAGAAACAATAAAAGGACATGGGGTGAGGAAGGAAAAGAAGCGAATCGAGAAGCTTGTCCAGACAGGTGCGGAGTGAGTGGCAGCAAAGAAGGAGGGGAACTCTAGAAACAGATGGGGGCGAGGGGGGAGGTTAGGAAGAGGGAGAGGAGCCCAGACAGAAGGAGGCTGCAGGAGTTCACCACGGTGGAGGGCTACCACCCACCTCGCTCGGAAGAAGGCCCAGGGAGGACCATTTGTGAACTCACAGGACACACGCCCAGGACCCCCAGAAATGAAGGGGGAAGCTGCAGGATGATCCTGCGGGACCTCACTGAAACCCTGAGGACAGTCAGATGACAACAGTCACCGTCCCGCCTAACTTATTTCCCTGTTTGCTTCCTGGCCAGATGGTGACAACTTGAGGGCATTGAGGTGTTCAATTTAAAATGTTTGTTGAACTGAATTCACTGAATTTTTTCCCTCTTCTCTCTCAAAATTTAAAATGTCACGTGATTACTCTTGTCACTTCCTGGTGTGTTCCTTACTTTTACAACTTGAGAATTTTTAATACTTTTAATCTCTGATCCTTTCCCACATTCCACGTGTATAGTGTAAGCGCTGTGAGGTCTACCCACGGGCACCGCAGAATGACCCGGCAGGCGTCTGCCCCGCTCCCACGGCCCCCGGAGCTCACCCTCACGTGTGCCTGACATCTAAGCAAACTGCTGTGGGGGCTGCATACCCCAGGCGGCTCCGATAACAAAGCCAAAATTCTATTATTTCCACACACGACAGTGTCGTTTTGGCAACTGGTGAAATTCTTCAGATATTTATGAATGTAAGTTATTTAAATTTAGTTTAATTAAAATTTAATTTTAACTGCAAGACATGCAAAATGGAGAAAAATGTTTGGAAAACTCAAAAGTTACATTCAAGTAGTTATCAAAAAGAAGTTTCTGGTAAATTGGGAAGTTTTGTGAATTAGTTCTTCTGCAAATTGCTATTTGGGGAACTGACTTTCAGCACACTGACCCTGCAGCGGATTGGTTCCATGAGGAACTAGTTCTCAGGGATCCAGCTTCCCCCCAGGAGCTAGGGGACACCCACAGGTGCCAATGAGAGGGCCACAAGGTACAATGCAGCCTGGCCCCTCGTGTGACTTCTGACCCACAGGCCAGGACAGCCCATGTGTGCCACTGGCCTGGTGTCACTCTGAGGGTCAGTCTGGCCCTAGAATTGATCAAAAATATGTTCACAGCCCGTGCTCTCATGCTGCCTTCCTGGTCTTAGAAATCTCCCCACAGGGCCTGTAAAAATGCTGAATGTGATAAGGAAAATGAAACATGCATTTCCTCTGCATGCCCTGCAGTAACCAGACTGTCCTCCTTTGCCTCACTCAGCTCCATCAACCCTAGCATCAGCAGGGAACTGAACTTCCAGAAGGGCCCGGCACCTGCCTGGGGCTTCCAGGAACCTCTGAGAGGTCCAGTGGGCTCAGTGATTAGAACCATGTTGCAGAACTGCCCTCCAATCACAGCTGCGCCATCACCAGCCTTTGAGAAATTTACCGAAGCTTCTGGAGCTTGGTTTCCCCATCTGTAATGATGACAATTATAATAGTAAGGCCTAACTGATTAAAAAAGATCTCATATTATAAAGACTGGGCACAGGGCCAGACACTCCGCTAAGCTCTTGGTGAACGTCAGCTGTTGTGATTTTGCTATTATTATCTTCTGCCTGGTACGGGAGGCCCCTTCCCACTCTGGCCCCACTGCTCCCTTTCCACTGGGCTGCACCTGTCGTGTGACTGAGTCCCACCTATCAGGCCTTAGCCAGGCTGCCCTCCATACCCGAACACTGGAATGCTTCCCCTCCTCACCTCTCTAAAGCCTACCCCAGCCTCAGGGTCAGTCTGAGCAGGCCTCCTCCAGGAAGCCTTCTGGGACCACCCAGGGCCCAGCATCACTCCCTTCCTGACCTGCAGGTCCACGTTCAGGCTGTTTAGACACTGCCGTGTTCGCCACACGTTTGCCTGTGTTGAGGTAGCTTAGTGTGAACTGATTCCAGCCTCTGCTGCCTGTGCAGGGAGTGGCTGCTGAGGTCCAGGCTGGACAAGATGGGCCCAAGATGCCCTAGGCCCCCACACCTTGCAGCCCCACCTTGGGCAGGCCCAGTGAAGGTGTCCCCACCCTCCCCACACACATACCACACCCCACCATGCACTCATGGCCAGCAGAGCCCCAGAGAGACAGTTGGGTTTTTCCTCCAAGCTTTTTAAGATTTCAGACTTTCCAGATGTTTTGCAGCCTGAGACCCTCGTCAGCTTTCCCCAGGTCTCTAAATCATCCTTCCTTCCCTCTCTCACCTCCCTGACCCCAGGTAACACAGCCAGGCCTCCCCGGCCTCAGACACGGCTGACTCAGTTCCCAGACAAAGACTCCCCTGCGAGCAGGTCACAAAACAGCAAGCCGATACCTGGTCCTTGGGCCCAGACCCCAGTAAAGGCACCCAGAGCATGAATCCACTCCTGCCAGGCCCCGTCGTGCCCAGCAGGGACGGCTGAACGCCCACCCTGACATTCAAGGCTCGTCACTGTGCAGCCTCCAGGCTGCATCTCCCAGGCCACCCAACCCCACAACCAAAAGGGCTATCGATCTGCAAGCTTGGGTGGTCCTGCCCACCCCCTAACCCCCCCAGTACCAGCACATACAAGGCCCAGGAGCTCAATGACAAGAGAAAGGACCCATCTCCCACCTAAAGAGAGCCTGCTTTTGCCACCACCATTTTGTCCCTGCTATTCCCGCTGCCTGGAAGCCCTCTCCACCACAAAAATGAAATAACAACAGAAAACACCACCACTGGGAGGTGTGCGGTCACTGTGATCCCCATTGCTGTTCTGACTTCTAAACCACAAATCTCACTCAAGTCCCACCTCTTCCGTGAAGGCCTCCTGGAGAGCTCCCTGCCGGCTGCAGCTTCACTTTGCCTCTCTGCCTCCCGGAGTGTGCCGCTGCCCTCACCAGTCTGGACAGGGCAGGAAAGAGGGCAGCGCCCAGGCTCCCGTGGGGTGAGGCAGGACACAGGGCGCCCTTTCCTCCCTGCTCCCTGGGGCACAGGCTGTCTGTGCAAACACATGCACGCCTGACTCTAGCCCCTTGTCCTTCCCAGCAGCCTGGGCAGCTCTCAGATTTACGCATGGCTGAGCTCCTGAGGCTGCAGCCAGGCCTCATCCCAACATCTACCGCTGAGCCAGGCCCACGAGAGGCAGGTCTTCAATAAATGCTGAGTTGAAACACCAGCTCTCTGGGGCCCCGATTCTGAAGACTACATCCACCACGACCCTACCTGCACCTTCAGGCCACAGAGCCCCCTTGGCCGCTCACCTGTTCCTCCCCATCGTCTCATGGTCTTTGACCACCACGTGAAGCTCAGAGCTCTGGTCCAGGGGGACCCCCTTGAGGTCCCACTCAAAGCCCTGGAAGAAAAGGAGAAAAGGGATCTTAACCTGTGGCCCCTAGGAGAAGAGGCGGTGTCTGGTTCGCCTGGTCCCCGCAGGGCACTGAGCAGGCATCCACGAACGATGCTGGTGGATGGATGGATGCAGGAGTGAATGAATACATGAACAGCAGGGCCTCAGAGTCTCTGAAGTGACAGTGAGAGCTGAAGGTAGCAGAAGAGAGAAGGAGGCCAGACTTTCATGGCCTCCTCCCCCAACTCAGTTCCATCAGTCACCAGGAAGCCAGGCCAGGAGCACAGCTGGGGAAAACGCCAGGTGACCCTGCAGTGACCTCAGGCAGGGACCACAGATCAATGTGCTCATCCAGGAGCCAGGCTCCGGAAGGCTGCATGAGTTAGTGCCACATTGGGTAGGCCCATCCGGAGGCCCCAGAACCCTCCTCAGTGCAAAGGCTCCCCACTGTGCACCCTGACCGCATCCACACAGGCAAGCAGGGCTTCCAAAGGACTCCCAGGGAGCCAAACGCAGGGAGCTGGCTGAGGGGGCAGAGGTCAGCAGGAGCCAGAAGGGGGCCTACAGAGTCAGGGAGTGCTGTGGGGAGGAGGTGGGCTTGGGGCAGAGAGACAAGGCAGGAGAGAGCGCCCCTACACACCCTCTCCCTGGCTAGCCAGAGCTGGGAGGAACAGACACAAAGGCCCTCTCACTCCTCCCCGTGCCGCACATCCCAGGGGAGACCCTCCGTTCCTCTGGAGGCCAGGCCCCCACCCTCCTCCCAGGTTCCTCGAGCCAGGAGGATCTAGACGGCATGCTGGACCACCAGCCCCTCCCACCCTGATAATCCACTGAGAAAGCCACCTCCCTCCCGACTTGTCTCTGCAGAGATGGTGGCAGCAGAGAGAGCGAAAAGGAGGGAAGGTGAAAAGACTCACATACCTCATTCCACACGGGGTTCACGCTGTTTTTGATGACTTTGGTTCTCTTCTTCACCCCTACAAGAGACACAGACAGAGAGTGAGGAGATGATCTCCCCACCGCCCCCCCGCCCCTTCCACCGAGCTCAGGTCAGCTTCCGAGATGTGCCCCGCAGCTCACCCACCAAAGGAAAGCTTAAAAAACCAAGGGGACCCCTGGGATCCCACAGTCTACAAGGATGCCCAGTGCCCATCCACTTCTCTCCCTCGGCTCTGGAGGGAGAGACAGCAGCCCCATCAGAAGGATGGTTTACATCTTCTTAGTGAGTTTGTTATTGTTGTTCCTGACTTTCCAAATAAGATTTTTAAATTGTAAATTTTCTGGTTCTAAGAATCAGAGATAGACCCAAATCATAAAAAATATTCCATTATTTTTCTTTTTAAAAAATCGACCTCCACATATTGTATGATTCCATTTATATGAAATATCCAGAATAGGCAAAGTCACAGAGACAGAAAATAGATTAACGGTTTCCAGGGGCCTAGGGAGACATGGGAATGGGGTGTGAATGCTTAATGGAGGTTTCTTTTGGAGTGATGGATTATTCTGGAATTAGATAGTGATGATGGTTGCACAATATTGCAAACATACAAAAAACCATCTAAATTGGACACTTTTTTTTTAAAGTTTTTTTTTTTTCCTTTTTCTCCCTCAAGCCCCCTGGTACATAGTTGTGTATTTTTAGTTGTGGGTCCTTCTAGTTGTGCTATGTGGGATGCCACCTCAGCATGGCCTAATGAGTGGTGCCATGTCCGCACCCAGGATCCAAACCAGCAAAAGCCCGGGCTGCCAGAGCAGAGCACGGGAACTTAACCACTTGGCCACGGGGCCAGCCCCTATTGTACACTTTTAAATAATTAAAATGGTGAATTTTGGGATGTGTGAATTTTACCTCAATCAAAAAAAAAATTCACCTTATGCTCGCCTTGAAGGGGTCTGTCTGAAGTAGGCTGTCCCAAGATAGTTCTATCTGTTCAGGAGGGCTGGGGCAAGGGAATGCAGAGTGAATTTGGGGTAGACAAGAAGAAGAACTGACACTGTGATGGCTGAGACCACACCCATAGTGCCCAAGATGACAGCCAGCCAGAGGGCTTCCTCTGGAGTCTGGGGCATGAAGAGGTGGATAAGAGGCACAGAACGGGTTAAATATGTCCAACTCTTCCATTAAGCATCAAAACCGAAAAGATTCGGTACTCAATGGACAATTAAAAGTGTTCACCCGGGGGGTCAGCCCAGTGGTGTAGTGGTTAAGTTTGCACGCTCCCCTTCAGCGGCCCAGAGTTTACAGGTGTGGATCCCTGGCACGGACCTACACACTGCTCATCAAGCCACACTGTGGCAGCATCCCACATACATTATAGAGGAAGGTTGGTATAGATGTTAGCTCAGGGACAAGCTTCCTCACCAAAAAAAAAGAAAGAAAAATGTGGTCAGCCGGACACAGAACTCATGTTTAGGTTGGATCTTAAATATCACCCAGTTCAACCCAGCTGTGCAAGACTCTCCAGCGAGAAGACTGTGCTCCCCCTGGACTGCTCAGCTCTTACAGAGTCCCGCCTGCACCACGAAAGCCCCTCCAGCCTCTGAAAACATCTCCCGGGACCCTCAAGTCCTCCTCCGAAGCTGAGCATTGTCAGTGACCTCCTGTGGGGTCATCCCCCTCTGGCTTGTCTCAAGAGCATGGAGAAGAGGAAAGCAGGACTCCAGGAAGGTTTGGGGAAGGATTTGGAGGAGAGAAACAGCAGAGACAGAAAGAGCAAAGGAAAATCATGGAGAAAGAAACATCTGAGGGAGACAGGCAGAGAGGGGCTCGGTAGATTCTAAGGCAATTATGTTAAGAATGGTTGCTGAGGGGCTGGCCCCGTGGCCGAGTGGTTAAGTTCACGTGCTCCACTGCGGCAGCCCAGGGTTTTGCTGGTTGGGATCCTGGGTGCGGACATGGCACCACTCGTCAGGCCACGTTGAGACTGCATCCCACATGCCACAACTAGAAGGACCTGCAACTAAGATATACAACTATGTACCAGGGGGGATTTGGGGAGATAAAGCATAAAAAAAAAGAGATTGGCAATACTTGTTAACTCAGGTACCAATCTTGGGAAAAAAAAAAAAAAGGAATGGTTGCCAAGCCTCGGGGAGTTGCTTCAGAGATTCTGATAACCTCCTCCAGCAGGAGAGGGAGCTCCCAAGCCCCTCTCACCACCCGTGGAAATCACTGACATAGGAAAATAATGTGGACTTTGGGAGGATGTTGACTACCACAGAACACATTTTCTGTGAGATCTTGGGGCAGCAGTTCTCAAATATTTTGGTCACAGAATGTCACTCTTAAAAATTATTGAGGGGAGCTGGCCCTGTGGCCTAGTGGTTAAGTTTGACATGCTCTGCTTTGGCGACCCACTTTCAGATCCCAGGCATAGACCTACACCAATTGTCAGCGGCCATGTTGTTGCAGCAACCCACATACAAAATAGAGGAAGACTGGCAACAGATATTAGCTCAGGGTCAATCTTCCTCAGCAAAAAAAAAATTATTGAGGACCACAAAGAGCTTTCATTAGGTGGCTTATATCTGTCAACTTTTACCATATTAGAAATTAAAACTGAAGCATTTCAAAATATCTGTTTAATAATTAATTTTAAATTAACAATAGTAAGCCCAGTACATGTTAACATAAGTGACATGTTTTTTGAAAAATAACTATAACTTCCAAAACAAAGGAAAAAGAAAAGTGACACCGTTTACATTTAGCAAATCTCTGGAATGCCTGGATGGATTCTCACATCTACTTATAGAATTCAATCTGTTGAGATGCCTTGTTTCGGTTGACTTCTATGGAGAAAACCCAATCAGATATACAGCTCGAAAAGGAGGCATATTTCAACAAATTTTCAGATACTTGTAGATATCCTTCTTTGATAATACACCAAAACTCAACAAGGAGTATTTCGTAAACTTAAAGATCAGCTGCAATGTGAAATCTGACACCAGATCCATGAATATTTTGTGCTCTGCTACATTAAAACCCATTGTTCTCTCTTGCATTCTGAATGAATTTTTTAGTCATGCAAGATTCTGTAACATCTTGCCTTGGTCATTCAGAAAATTTTTGTTCATTGAGGTATACAGATCTTCCAGAGGTTGACACATTTCATTATATAATACCAGAAAATCACATTCAGTAATATCACCATCGATCTCATCAGAAAAGCCATTAAAGACTGGGAAACTGGAAGATAAAAGTTTTCTAAAATTCCAATTTTTGTTTGAAAGCTCAAATTTTATGATTGGCAACAAATGATAAATGTCAGCTGTTTTCCTTGAGATGCCAGGAGCAGTCAACCATTTTTAAGAAAATGTCTACCAAATGCCCAATCTGAACAAACACAGTCAGTCATTCCTCCAAGTAAAAACAGTATGCCATGAAAAAAGAAAAAGCAGCTAGTTCAGCTTGCAACTCAAGCAGCCACTCCAGTGCTTTCCATGCAACAGTCATCATTTTTCAGCATGCAGCAGAAGCCCTCTGTGCACACTTCCCATTTCAACACACAAAATATCACAAACACGTGTTCTCAAGGATCAAGGTTAATATAATTAATAATTTTACTGCTTTATCAAGGACATTCTTCAACAAAACTGGCCTTTTTTTTAACTGTGAGTACATGAGGGTGAAGAACACAATGACAGCACAATTTGGGGCCGAGGCCTTCACAGTATTAAGGCACCAACAGTTTCACCTTCCATCGCTGTTGCACCATCAGTGCAAATGTTGACACAGTGAAAAAGGCACATAGCATCTTAGTGTTATTGTGAAAATAGTTTTGACCTTGTTGACCTGCTCCAAGACTCTTAGGGATTCCCCAGGGCCGGTGTACCACACTGGAAGAGACTCTCAGGAAACTCATTTCAGCCTTTGTTTCCTCATCCGTGGGGTCATAACAACACCTCCCCATGGGGGTGTCATGAAAAGTAAGCGAGAGAGGATGAATGAGGCGCCACACACACAGCACACTGACTCAAGGTGCCTCTCTCTGCCCGACTCTGATGCATCTAGGGAATTCCTACGGATTCTTCAATACCCAGCTCAGTTGTCTCTCCTCTGATAAGCATCCCCTGACTCTCCCAGACATGGTTGCAAGCTGTGACCACGTGTATCAGAGTGCAGGTAACTGTGTGCTTCTATGTCTGTGCCCCCATCTGGACTGTGAGCTTCAGAGGGCAGACACCATGACTCACCAAGTTAGTGACCCTATTATAGAGCGAGGTGCCCAGTAATTAGGTGCTGAAGGAATGGATCCTTTTCTTTCCCAAGTTGGCTGCAAGTTCACTTCCTCACCAGAGGGGAGAACCACTGTTCTCAGGGAACTCCACAAGACTAAATTAACAGTAAGGCTGTGTGTCAACAGACAGAGGGGATGAAAGGAGGCACAATGGGAAGGAGGTGTCCTGGGAGGGGCACCAGATACCTTCTCAAAGTGGGTCCAGGCCTGCACTGGCTGAATCCCTCTGAATCCCCTGTGGGCTATGTGGGTGTGGTTCCAGAAGGGGTTAAACATATGGCTTTGGAGTCATTCAAATACAGCCACTACTGTGTGACCTTAGGTAGGGCTTGTAACATCTCTAGGCCTTAGCTCTCTCAGCAGTAAACTGATGATGATAGTAATAGCGTCTACTTTATAGAACTTCAAGCGCACATGAGATGCTATCTAAGTGTCCACATCCCCTCCCCTATCACAAATCAACTTCCCGTGACCTAGAGGAGTGACATGGAAAATTCCATCTGCAGCCTCTCTTGAGTTGTAAAATTGGAAACTCATTTCCTGGTGCTCCTGGCTAGTATTAATTGAGCAGTGTCTGTGCACCAGGCCCTGCGCAGTGTCTTTTAAACATTTCCACTTCCTGTCTTCCCTGCAGATGAGGAGGACAAAGACTCTCCATGAGATGTCACTAAGTCCCGGTGGGAAGCGCCAACTCTGGGACTCTCTGGATGACATAGAGGGAGGGTCGCTGCTGGGTG